CCCGCTCCTATTTCCAAATAAGCAATTATATTAGCCTCTTTGACATAGCCAAATAAGCAATTACGTTATCATACACCAATTTTTTTCCCAATATATATGTGCATGTCGCGTCAAATAAGCAATTACGTTAGCATACATTAGAATGGTACAAACAAGGTTATCAGATTATAAAACGAACATCGAATTATTGGCGGAAAGATATTAAATGAATGAATGGTTAATACATCAATAATAGGGTTGGATAGAGATCAGAGAGGAGGGTCCATCGATGGCTTGCCATTAGCTGTATGAAAGCAAACTCTGTGATAGACCTTTCCATTCCAATTTAAATAGTCCTTTTCGCTTCTCTCTCCACTTCTGCATATAAATAAGCACACAATTCTTCTGCATAAACACACGAACGGATAAACTAAAATAATTTATAACACGAAAAATGGCCAAATTGGCATACTCGGGTTTCAAAGATTTTCTTCTGTTTGTTATCGTATGTGTTCTGGCATTGTCGTCATCTGTTAGTGCACGACCGGCCACGTTTTTACAGGATTTTCAAGTTACCTGGTCGGACTCTCATATCAGGCAACTTGATGGAGGAAGAGCCATCCAGCTTGTTCTAGATCAAAATTCAGGTACAAATTTTCGTCCTGCCTTGTAGGAACTACTTGCAGATTTTAACCATGATCAGATGATAAAAAGAAGTATTTGAATTTTGATTAGGATGCGGATTTGCTTCCAAGTACAAGTATTTGTTCGGACGTGTTAGCATTAAAATCAAGCTCGTTCCTGGTGATTCTGCAGGAACAGTCACGGCCTTTTACGTAAGTTCATTCTTTAACCACATGTTTGCTACGTAGTATTAAACTATTTTATACAAAACAACTTGTGAGATTTAAATTTCTTTTTTACTTTAATCATGTACATTATTGTTTAGTCCAATATCTCGAACATGCCGTCCTTGTTCCAAATATTTTTTTTTGTGGGCACGTATTTATTTGTATGTTTTATTATGTCGTAGATGAACTCAGACACAGATTCGGTACGAGACGAGCTAGATTTCGAATTCTTGGGTAACCGGACCGGACAGCCTTACACAGTACAAACTAATGTCTATGCTCATGGGAAAGGAGACAGGGAACAACGGATCAACCTTTGGTTTGATCCTTCTGCGGAATTCCATACTTACACAATAATGTGGAATCATCGTCATGTTGTGTAAGTTGGGACAATTTATTCATTTTAAATAACGTTTTTTTAAATCAAACTAGCTACAAAGAGGTCACGTATTCATTACGCTGAAAAGAAAGAAGATAAAATACAAACTCAAGGGTCGCTTCAATAGAATAATGCTCATTGGATAGGGATGGAGGTGTGGCAGACAGTGGTTCGATGTTTTTTTTTTCAAACTGTCTAATCATGTATTGACACATATTTTATCTGTCATTGAATCTGTCACTGTAGCAAGATTGACGTGATATGACTTTCAGCCAATGAAATAAATCAAATAATTTGACCATTCCAAATGACAGCTAGCTAAAGATACAAAATTTCTTATGACATGCTTTATTCATGCTTCTTGTCATTGTTTTTTGAGTCATCTTCATAGTAACAAGTTGTGGACGAAGTTTATACTAATTAAACATTATTGATTTATTTTTTTTGTAGCTTCTATGTCGACGAAGTACCGATTAGGGTTTACAAGAACAACGAAGCCAAAGGCATTCCATACCCAAAGTTCCAGCCCATGGGAGTGTTTTCCACCTTATGGGAAGCTGACGACTGGGCAACTAGGGGTGGCCTTGAGAAAATAGATTGGAGCAAGGCCCCATTCTATGCATACTACAAGGATTTCGATATCGAAGGTTGCCCCGTGCCAGGCCCACAAAATTGTGCCTCAAATGCTAACAATTGGTGGGAAGGCGCTGCATATCAAGCACTTAGCCCGGTCGAGGCCAGGAGATACCGTTGGGTTCGTATGAACCATATGATCTACGATTACTGCACCGACAAGTCCCGGTACCCAGTTACCCCGCCCGAGTGTGTTGCCGGAATCTAAAACTTCTTTCTTATTTAATCCACACAACCGTTATATATATATATACACTAGTGTGGTGTCAAAGAAATTAGCCATGACAATTGCCAGGCATATAAAGGGACATGGAGGGAATTGTATAAATGTTGTTTGGTTTCATATCCACATCCTATACTTGGAATTTGTGAGTCACAAGAGTGTCAAAAGTCAATGTCATTTTCTTGCTTTATTATTCTGTCTGTATTTGTTTGAGCCAATAATGTTATAAATCGCATGATATGTGAAATGTATCTAATTGAAAGTTTCTCAAGAATAATATAAATTATTGTACTTTTTACCTTTACTATGAATCATCTCATCTACATTTAATTTTTTCAATAATTTAGTCTCCACGTGACAATAATTTATAAATAGATGGAAATGATTGATACGGATTATGCTATTCCATCTCTTAGAAAGAAAAGAACTTAAATTAAAAAACATATTAGCATGGCGATACATTTATAAAAAACTTCTACCCCAAGAACACGCAATGAATAAGTAGATATTATTTGTGGATTCATTGAAATATGAGTTGAAAATAAAAAAAATTGACGATTTATAAATTTTACCAAATGGAGCCGCAGTTAATGATTTCTTTTTGCATCAATCTATGATCATGTCTAAGATATAGTATATGACATCTTATTCATGTTTACAATGTACAATTAATGAAAATGAAACTGCAACTTTATGTTAAAATATGTGGCAAAATAAGAGATTCAAAAGATAGTTATGACAAGGGTTCGACCTAACATTAAGCTCGTGTTTGATTTAGATAAAAATCATATTTTTTAGTAAATTTTGATAAAACTTGATCGAATGTGTGATTGAAAAGTTGTAGAACTCATAAAATGTAGAGAGATGCTTGATGTAAACACTTGAGTGTACATCATGCATTACACTCTTCTCACAATGGTGGGGGAATTGTAATTTAAAAAATCGAGGACCCCACACTCTATTGTGAGAGGAGTGTATACATTAAGACTTATTCTAAATTGTATTGTTAAAATGAATTGTTGAATTTAACTTAAATTTTAATCAACTTTTGTATTAGAACCAAACGTGTGCTAAGGGTCCAGCTCAAGAATGCATAAGATGCATGAAGGATAATAGGAGAGATTGAATGGAAGAGCAAAAGCGAGGTGAAACTCAAAAATCCAAACTTATGCGAGTGAAAGAGTGGCATGAAAGGATGCCGTAATGATAAATCGAAGAGCAATTGCAAATTTCTTCGCCTTTTCGAAGAGCCTCAAACCGAGCAATATCCAAGGTCTTGGTGGTTAAATTGGTTAGTTGATTAAAATAGACCACTTTATGTTTATAGCATTCTAAATCATCCTTTTTAACCCACACATCTCATTTTTGTTTCACATAACTGGTGGTTAAATTGGTTAATATCATGCTTTCTCATCTAACGATTAGATGCACACCCTCATCCACTCATCCCAATCTTCTAGTGAGCATAATTCGTAAACCCAGCATCGCTTGTTTCTAGAAAACTGGATCTCACTTTAAGTAAAAATGTAGATTAAAATCAGATTTTAAGTGGATTGTGATAGAAGTTTTTGAAATGTGTGGTTGAAAACATGTGGGACTCATGAAAGATGTGGTTGATATTGATTGTTTGACTTTAACTTAAAATTAAAATTAAAATCAGATTAAAATTCGGCCCAAACAGGCTCATATTTTCCAGCATAACATATTATCAAACTCAAATCAATAACTTATCATGTGAACCATATAAGGTCTAACAATGACAACCACAAACATAACAATGCGAAGAGCAGCATGACGAGGTCAAAAGGCATAAACTAAGTATTATTTTCATATATTCTTTGTCCTTTGGTCTAGTTAAGGTTTTCTTTAATTTTTCACGTTTGGAGGTTCAATTGTAAATCCTCTACTAGGTGTTCTTCTGTCTAGTGTTATTAACAATAATTAGTTCCCTTAGTGGTTTGATTTTCCTTTTTCAAAATAAATAAATAATAAAAAAAAAAAAATAATAATTTGTACTCTTTCAAACACATTTAATTAATCAAATAAATTATGTTCAAACCTCCATGGAATATGCCGAAATTTCATTAATTCATCGTTAATCTTTGATCATTGATTTCAAGTAAACCAGTCAAAGGTCAAAATGCAAAGCAAAAAAAAATAAAAAATATATATATATATTTTCACTTGTATATTTGTCTAGTTAATTATTTAAAAAATTGCTAGTAATTGAGAGAAAGCATTTCTAATTTCAGTTTCTATTCTAACATGAGATCAGAACAATTACACTAATTCCTAATTTATTAATGTTGTCAAAACTGTCATTTTTTTTTTCATCTCCTCTTCACTGCAAACTTTAAGTGACTTTAATTGCAATAAAGTTCTCAAGAGAGAGTAGAAACTCCAGTTTGGTACAAACACATTCCATTAACTTTTATCAAAATATAGTAAAAATCTGATTTCTATAGAAACCAAACGGGGGCTAAAATTGTTTAAGTCGTGAAGAAAAGCCCCGTAGTTTTTACTCTGAGAAGGTTTTTTGCATTATAAATTAGTTGTCTTTATTGTGCATATGAATTAACCTATATGCTCTATTCGATTGAAGCTCACACCCTTTGACCGTAGAAATCAAGTAAATTCATGCATTCGTCATGTTTTCTAAATTTCATTCAAAATTTTCTTCCTTCATACAAGTTTTTTTTTCTTTACTTGAATGCTACGTAAAATAGTCCCACCAAATTAAAGTGTAACATTGTAATTTGTAACCACTTAACATTATAGAGTAACACCTTTACTTAAATTTTTCATTTACAATACACTTTAGTTAATTTAGTCTTTAATTATTAATAAATTAACCAAGTATAGAAACTCTCTCCCTGAAAATTTATTTAAATCTTCCTCTACAAAGCAGAAATCTCAAGTTACATATACAAAGATCATGGCATCAAAATCCGCAGCTGTAAAGAGAGCTTTGAAATTTTTCATAATTGCATGCATGGTGATGGCGGCATCTGCCATGTCTAGGTTAAGTCTTCCTGCCCTGGAGCTGCCAGTCCAAGAGGTTCGAAAATGCTGGGAACCTCTAAGAAAAATCGACGGGTGCGTAATGAGCATTAGCAAACAACTAATGGGAATTAAGGGATTTAGTTCTCCTTGCTGCAAAGTCATCAATCCGATTTCTAGAAACTGCTGGCCAAAAATATTTCCTTTCTATCAGAGGATAATACCTGTTGTCCTAAAGAAAGCCTGCACTGCCATAGTACCACTGCAACGTCCTAGAGGCTGAATTACATTTGTTTGAAGGGACGATTTGGAGTATATTTTGCGTGATTTATATGAAGGTACAAAGTGGGAATTACATGATTTTGGGCTTCCTTTTAATAAAAGTGCCCTATAGTGAAAATGGGGACTTGGCATTTTTTTTTATAGCCACTAGGGATTTAGGAATGTGTTGCGGCATTTGATGAAGAACGTTCATATTTTTACATGAATGCCTCTTCCTCGTTATGCAGGATGATTCAGTCAATAAAATTTTTACTTTTAACCTATTACAGTAATTCTTGTATGTTGGGTTGACACAATGACAATGGGCGGATCCTAGCCTATGTAAAAAAAAAAATTTGGTTAAAGCCCAATTGTTTCCACTTTCCAACCCAATAGCCTACTAATCAAGTCCAACCCAGTAGCCCACCGTCCTAGCCATTTGAAAAATTGAAAGCCCAATTTGCAATCCACCTAAAATTAAACCCAATTCCCACCCATTGACCCAAAAGGCGAAACCCTCTCCACTCTCTCACACCTTTCGTCCCTCTCTGCTCTCTCTCTGAAACAGCAAAAGTCGAAACCCTTCGTCCCTCTCTCTATATGTTTTCCTTCTCATTGACAACTCGTTTGTCCTGCTTATCGGGTTCTTTTTTGTGGGCAAGGTAATTTTTTTTTTTTTATGCATTATAGTGAGGTATGTTTGCGCAGCGTTAACTCTTTTGTGTGTCAAGGGCTGATGAAAGATTCATCTGGGGTCTGGGGATAAAGGAAATGGGATTTCGTTAAATGGATTTGGGATTGTGATTGGGGGAGTAAGATTATCAGCTCAGCTGTACAAAGATTCTTGCACCCCAGCTTGTATAAAGTTGAATTTTGAATTAAGATACACAATAATTTAATGGATTAGTCCAAAAGAAGGCTGTAAACTTACATTTTCTCTTGTAACTGGTCCTAGATGATTAGCAATAATCCTTTGCTTTACATTCAATTTTTTATTTTTTGTTTATAAGTTGAAATTTGTTACTATATGCATTTGGAAGATCTTAGTCTTGGTTTTTAAGTTTCATTGCAATTTGTGCTTGAGCTCTAAGAATGCCAGATATTGATATAGTCGATTTCTACTCGTTTACTACGTTTACTTCACAACACAAAGATCTCGTTCTTGAATTTGTGAAATCTTTTTCATTGACATTGGTTTCTTAATCTTTTTCTTTTAATTTGTACTATATGGTATTATTTTTGTTGTGTCAACACCCCCTTGTAACTGTTGTTTTGTAATTGTTTCAAACTTTCAGGGTCGATATGGCCTTTGTGTGTGCAGTGTAGACTACAGTTGTGCTTCAGACTTCATCGGAATCACCGCTTCAGCATTCATTTGCGGCCTGTAGTGAGGTATGTTTGTGGCCTTCACTTGTGTGTGTAGTGCAACATTAGACAATTTATACTCCATTGAATGATTTGAAATTGAAAGGCTGCTAGTTGCTTAACTGGAAAAGTTGTTTGATAAAAATTAGACTTGCTAGTTGCTACTACTAAGTTGCTAAAATGATAATATGCTATGTAATTTGCAGTCGTGCTTTTGGATTTAGGCATTTTTTTTAAGGAAATGTTAGTTTGAAAATTTAGCCAATAGCAATTTATATAGAATTTTGTAGGATATTGAAGTTTTTTTTTTGTTATGTATTCTCTTAGATTTAATATGGAGGAAGATCGACCTTCTTCAAAGAAAGGAAGAACTTTGTTATCTTTCTTTTCAAAGAGTAACAAATATCAGGGTACTCCAATTCCTACGGCATCCACTCCAAATCCAATTTCATCCCCTGATGTTGAACGATAATCGTCTGGTACAATTTTAATATGTAATGTTATATTACAATTTTCTAGTAATATATAAATTTTATTCGTACATTCAATTTTAAAATTTTTTTCCCCCAGTACGACAAATTCCTGGCTCCGCCCCTATTGACACCATTGGAAAGCAATCAAGGTGGAAAAAAAGAAAAAAGAGTTAAAATTGTTGAAATAGTGAGACGATATGAATTAATTAAATGGTAAAGAACATTAACTTTAAGCAATTCTCGCACATTCAATTGGCAAGCAATCCTCCAATATTTTTGCATCCGCAGGTCCTACGTGAAAATCTTGGCTCCATTACTGTTGGCGTGCTATAATCGGTTATTCCATCGTAGTGTTCGTATAGCTCGATGATGCTATCTTTCCCTATTTTACTCATTCTAAAGTATTAGAGAATATTAGCTATTAGCATTCTATTAGAATAGCTTGTTAGCATTCTGTTAGAGTTGTTAAGTAGTTGTTAATTCAGCCCTCTTTCCCCTTGTATATATATTGTAAAGATGGAACCATTATTATAATATAGTAGAATATTCATTTCTAACTTGGTATCAAAACCTGAAATGGCCTCTCCCGTTGATTTCATAAACTTTTCTAATTTTTCCCCTGTTATCTTTACTCATTCCATCTCTGTTAAACTTGATGAACATAACTTTCTACTTTGGAAACAACAAGTCTCCGCTGCCATCAGAGGCCATCGTCTTCAAGCCTATATTGATGGATTTAGTCCACCTTCAAAATTTCTCTTAGATACTGATGCTAAATCTAGTAACGTGAACCCTGCCTTTTCAAACTAGGATGGGATCAGCAGGACCAGCTTCTCTTCTCATGGTTATTGTCTTCTATGACCGATTCGCTGTTAACTTGGCTTGTTGGGTGTGACACTTCTTTTCAAATTTGGTCTACTCTTGAGATATTTTCACCACATAGACCTCTGCAAAGGTCTCCCAGCTGAAAACCAAACTTCAAACCACAAAGAAAGGTGATCTAACCCTACTTATCCTCTTACCATCAAATCTCTTCTGGATCAGCTTGCTTCCGTTGACCATTGTCTCTCTATCAAAGCATATATTGATGCTATTTTTGAATGTCTTCCTCAATCTTATGATACCTTTATTGTGTCTGTTACATCTAGATATGACTCATATACCGTGGCCGAGATTGAATCTCTACTTTTAGCTTAAGAAGCTCGCATTAAATGCCACACCCAACAATTGGATATTAATGCCTCAGCCAATATGGTTCACAGTAACTCATCTCACCAAAATCGTTTTGGCTCTACATATTCTCAACATTCTGGGTATACACATTTTTGTCTTCTACGCTCAAGATCTCGGGGTCGTTCGTACTCTCCTTCTGGTGCTGGATGTGGTGGCAGATTTTTATGGTCCAACAGTTCTTCTAATGTCTTCAACAAACCATATTGTCAGATCTGTGGCAAACCAGGACATCAGGTTTATAAATGCCTTGAAAAGTTCAACAATGCTGTGCAAGGTCCTTGTCAGTTTCAACAACAGCCTTCTTATTCCCAGCAGCCTTTGTCTGCTCTTGTTGCCTCTTCTCAGTCCTTCACTGATACCAACTGGTATCCAGACTCTGGAGCTTCTAATCACTATACCCATGATCTTCACAATCTTAGCACATCTGAAACTTACAGTGGTCAGGAGCAAATCCATGTCGGTGATGGTACTAGTTTAGGAATACAAAACATTGGTCAGTTTTCATTTTCCTCTCCTTCCTTTTCCAAAATCTTATCTCTACATAATCTTTTACATGTTCCTAAAATTACCATGAATCTCATTAGTGTTTCCAAATTTGCTCGAGATGTATTTTTTTGAGTTTCATGCTGATCTTTGTTTTGTTAAAGATCAGGTCACCAAGAATGTTCTTATGGAAGGGAAATTGGAGAATGGCCTCTATGCCTTTCCTCCTTCAAGCCTCTTCTTCAAGTTTGTTTCAGCCCATCCTCACAGCTCCAAGTCTACTTTTCCAAATTCTGTTCAAGTTGCTCAATCTTGTAGTACTTTTACTTCTGTTATCAAATTATGGCACGAGTGGCTTGGCCATCCCTCAGCCAAAATTTTGCAAAATGTAATGTCAACTTGTAATGTTCCTTTCAGCAGTAATAAAAGCTTACCTGATTTCTGTTCTGCCTGTTGCTTAAAAAAATTCATAAGTTCTCATTCCCCAATTCTACTACTGTTTATTCAAAGCCCTTGGAACTTTTGCACACTGATCTATGGGGCCCCTCTCCTGTGTTATCCTCTTGTGGTTATAGATATTATATCCACTTTGTTGATGCACACACGCGTTGGTTTGCCTTTTGCAACACAAGTCTAATGCATTTCCCACATTCCTCAAACTCAAAGTACAAGTTGAACTTCAATTTGTTTTGCCAATTAAGAGCATTTAAACTGACTGGGATGGTGAGTACATACCCTTTAATGATTATCTTGAATCCAATGGTATTATTCACAAGCTAGCATGTCCAACCACACATGAACAAAATGGAGTAGTCGAAAGAAAGCATCAGCACATAATTGAATTAGCTCTCACTTTTCTGGCTAATGCATCATTACATTTTAGATTTCAGGATAAATTTGTTCGTACTGCAGTGTATCTTATTAACAGGCTCCCATCTTTTATTTTATCGGGGGAAAACTCATTTTTAGGCTCTTTTCAACAAGCCACCTGATTATAGCCAAACTCAGGGTGTTTGGTTTCTCATGTTTTCCTAATATCAGGCCCTACAACAAGCACGAAGTTCCAGTTTCGTTCCCTTGAGTGCACATTCCTTGGCTATAGTATCAAACATAAAGGTTACAAGTACTTGGACCCCAATGGCAGAATCTATATCTCTCGTGACGTCATATTCAATGAACACAATTTTCCCTATTCTACTAAGTAAACTGATACCACTCCTCCACAATCTGTACCTCAGTCACTACTTAATCCAGTCGTTCCTCTTTCTCTTATTCCCTCATACGAACTACATTTTGGCCATCATGACCCAATTCCAACTCCAAACATTCCTACCCAAACCTTTCATTCACACCCTGTTGCCACACTACAACTTGCTCCAATTATAGCTTCAAACATTCCTACCCACGTACTTGCTCTATCCACAATGCTAGCTCCCTCCCTTACTAATGTTCCTGGCATGTAGACTCG